GTGACTTCGGTTTCCCGTGCCTACTCCTCAGCTATCAGGGCGTGCTTTCTACTTTCCCGCATGGTGTTGGGAGGCTTCTCAGGTCTTTGGCTGATTAGGGGAAGCAGGCAGGCAGTCAGAATATACACAGGATGCCTCACTAAAGATGTATTTACAGATATGTACCAAGTGCTTAGAACCATGCATTATTCTAATTACTCACAATTACTCACCTGGTATATTATAAGCCCAGAACACAGGGATTGAGAAATAATGGGGTTTTTACACAGTCAATGTAAAAAAATGCCTCTACTTCCTGTGTTCTGAGCCCTGCACCTGGCTGTGTTCCAGGCAGAAGACAGAAAAAAGCAAAGGGGAAAAGTTTGCTCCACAGTAAGACCTCTTCATTGCTCTTTTACTATGATTCCATTTCCAATTTCTTGAAGTACAAATGTGGCTGCTGTATTAGGTACAATCTGAGTAAAGCAAATCTTCTGGGTAGTCATAGGTGCTACAGTTTGCCTGATTACCTCTCAGCAATCGTACATACACGAGGCCACCCTGCTCTCATCCTCATCATAACTAAGTCATGACCACCTAAGTCACGGCTGGAAGGGAGAATCTGTCATCATCAAATCCTTTTTGGGGGAAGTCTGTCCTATGCTGCTATCAGATGTGATTGAAAATTTTGGCTGGGTGTGGTGGCTCACACCTGTAATCCCAGCACTCTGGAAGCCTGAGGCAGCCAGATCACTAGAGGTCGGAGTTCGAGACCAGACTGGCCAACACGGTGAAACTTCGTTTCTACTAAAAATACAAAAATTAGCTGGGCATGGTGGTGCACACCTGTAATCCCAGCTACTCAGGAGGTTGAGGCAGGAGAATTGCTTGAATTCGGGAGGCGGAGGTTGCAGTGAATGAAGATCACGCCACTGTACTCCAGCCTGGACAACAGAGTGAGTGAGACTCTGTCTCGAAAAAAAAAAAGAAATTTGATCGTCTGTTTTTTCATCAGACCATGTGATGGATACTGTTCTGGGATCTGGGGATGTATCCATAAACAAAAAAGACGAAAATTGTTGCCCTCATTGGAGAAGATGAAGCATAAAAGAAATAAATAACTGATATGACAGGTTTAAAGGTGGCATGTGTCACAGGAGAAGTAGAGCAGGGTATGGAGGGTGAAATGTGCTGGTTGGGGAAAGGACATTGGTGAATGAGCCCTCTGAGAGGGTGATGTTTTGGCAGAGGCTTGAAGGAGGTGAGGGAATGAGCTTTTCTCCGGGAAGAGGCCTCTGGAGGGAAAAAAGAACAGCCAGTGCAAAGGCCCTGAAGCAGGAATATGGCTGCTTTTCTTAAGAAGCAGCAAGGCTGGGGCAGGTGAGTGAAGAGGAGCTCACTAGAAGCTGAGGTCATGAGAAAGTATTTTTTAAATGCTCAAGGAAGGGGCCTTCTGAGAGTTCTCTATTATTTTCTGCTCTGAGCCCTGTGATTAAAAGGTGTTTGGGAGGAAGAGGAACCAGGGCAGGTGGCTGGATGCATTTTGCACCCCTTGGTGTGCCATTGTCTAGGAACAAAGCACCCCATGCTGGGAATGACTGGAGCTCAGGACTAAGGAATTATATATATACCTTTTTAAAGAATCCAATTCCCCTCCACCATCCTACCATCCCTGTATCTCCGGGGACCAGTGCAAGTTGGTCAAATTTCTGTTCTTACTTAGCTTCAGTCAGAATACATTCTGACTCTCACCCTCCCTTCCTTCACTCCCAGAATCAGGCAGACAACGTACAGAATTTATTTTTGTACTTTTGTGGCAAGGCTGAGTTATTTTTATCTTTATAAATTATTTCCCATTTTAAAAAATATCTCATTTAATCAGCTGTATTTCTAAGTGATTAGGGTTATACATATTTCAAAAGGCACCCTCAGGGGCCATCTGAGAGCCTCGCCTGGCAGGAATGTTTCCAAGTCCTCCTTGTTCCCTTTCTGGGTGCAGCCTCAGGTGGTCACTGGGCCCCAGGACAATACGAGGATGCAGGATGCAAACATGAGGAGGTGGGGGTAAAACGAACTCTGCCCTCCCAGTCCCCCTGCAAGGTTGTCTTTGTCAACTAACAACTTTGTTACAGTAGGGGTCAAATTTCCATAGAGACTGACCAAACAGGGCAATAAAATGCCTCTCTATTCAGTCCTCGGTAACAATTTTTACTGGAAACGGCTGTGTGTACATCATCACTATAAGTTGAAAAGGAAGTCCCAGGTCCCGCCAGCCAGAGTAAACATGGTACCTACATCTTCATCATAGATACTTCCAATTATGGGTTGAAAAGATTTTGACACATGAGCAAACCTCTGGATTTACATAGAAGACGGTCTTAAATTAATAGAAACCCCAGGAAAATCTAGAAATGACTTTCTGACATAGGAAAAAAGAAAGGAAACAGAAAAGGACCTATGAATAAATAAAAATAAAAACAGTAACACTGGCAGCAATGGCTACATAGCTAGCAATTACATACTTTATTATGTGCTGGATACTGAGCTATAGGTCCTATCTTTATTACTCATTTAACCTTGAAAAAACTCTATGAGGCTGCTATTATCCCCACTTTTCAGAAAAAAAAAAAAAAAAAGGAATTTTAGAGAGGTAACAAGTCCAATTCCAAACAGCTTGATTGTGTCAGAAAAGGTCTGTCTGCTCCAAGTTTTTGAAGGAAAGAAAAACAGAGGGTAAAGAAACGGGAAGGACATTGGGCGAAGCAGAGAGAAACTTACAGGTAAGAATACAAGAAACAAGTTCTGTTTGGATGGTAAAAGAAAGATAAAAATATTTGGGCTTGTAAAACAAATGTTGTATCAAGAACTTCCATAAAGTTATGTTTTTAGAAGAAGAAATGTTCTTTCTTAACTGGTTGGCAGGTGTTATATTTGTCCATAGTCTTTTGAAACATTAGAAAGATGAGTTATAAGACGATAAAAGGTAAATTATCCTGGGGTGTCAGCTACTGATCTGGTGGTAGAGATTAATGACTCTGAAAGCCAGGTGCTAGTTGTTATCACACTTTCAGAACAGAGCGAGGTTCTGGTGGCCTGACAGCTCATGAGAGCTTGGTAGGCCCACTCAATTCCTGGAGTGGTGACTCTAAATGACTGTTAAGGTTCCCTCACAACCCTAAGGTGTTATAATTTCCTCACTTTGGTCAGGTCACACTATCTCATCTACCTACCTATTCTATCACTTATCTTCATCTCCGTAAATGGCTCCCAAATCGAATTGCAACTCAGAACTGCACATTTGTGAAGCTCTGAAAACTAGAATCAGGTTAAAAAAAAAACTAAAATATGTAATACTCTAATGTTTAATGTATATAATGCTAATACAGTATAATAAAACTAATCTCCTGAAACAAACAGTTCTGTTGTTGTTGTTTGTGTGTGTGTCTTTTGTGTGTATGTGTGTATGATTTTTTAGACAGAATTTTACTCTGTTGCCCAGGCTGGAGTACAGTGGCACAATCTTGGCTGACTGCAACCTCTACCTCCTGGGTTCAAGTGATTCTCATATCTCGGCCTCCTGAGAAGCTGGAATTACAAGTGTGCACCACCAGGCCCAGCTAACTTTTGTATTTTCAGTAGAGACGGGGTTTCACCACGTTGGTCAAGCTGGTCTCGAACTCCTGATCTCAAGTGATCCACCCACCTCAGCCTCCCAAAGTGCTGGGATTATAGGTGTGAACCACCACATTCAGCCAACAAGTTTTAACTCTTATCAGTTTGCCCCATTCCAAGTTTGCAAGAAGTCCAAGCACAAAGCAAAAATGGCAGCTTCAGGGGCTACTTTGTCAGAGTTATTAATAGGTTGGCAACTCTTTTCCAAAGGAGAGCATTGTAACTCTTGAGCACAAGAACATGCAATTGATCTTTGTAACCACCAAGGCACCTAGTTCTGTGCCTGTCACATGGAGGTGTTCTGCATTGGCTTGTAGGATAGATGGATGCACTGAGATGAGAAAAGCAAGAGGAGAGGTTGAGTATCTCCCAGCTCTGCCCCCTACTAGCTATGTAAATTAGGTAATTTACTTAACCTCTTTAAGCCATAATTCTATATCTTCCAAATGCAGAACTCGTACCCATCTCATATTTTTTTGTTATGAGAAGCCAAAAAAATCATCTCCATAAAGCACACAGCACAATGCCTGGTGTTTTTAGCTTGCCTAATAACTGTGACCTAGTTAAAGGAGGTTAGGGATAAATGTTAAAGATGGAGAGAACAGAAATTCAGGGGGCTCATGGTAGATGACAATGTAGGAAATGAGGTATGTATTCAAGTTGAAACTTAGAAAATCTGACAGAATTCTATAGAAGAGTCAGTAAGAATACAGCAGATGGTGCCAGGCATGGTGGCTCACGCCTGTAATCCCAGCACTTTGGGAAGCCAAGGCAGGTGGATCACCTGAGGTCAGGAGTTCTAGACCAGCCTGGCCAACATGGTGAAACCCAGTCTCAACTGAAAATACAAAACTTAGCCAGGCATGGTGGCAGATGCCTGTAATCCCAGCTACTCGGGGGCGAGGCAGGAGAATCGCTTGAATCTGGGAGGAGGAGGTTGCAGTGAGCTGAGATCGCGCCATTGCACTCCAGCCCAGGGGACAAGAGCGAGACTTCATCTCAAAATAAATAAATAAATAAAATAATAATAGTAATAATACAACAGATGGTACCTAGTTGGGAAACTAGAATCTGATTCTGCATCAGAAGTTTTGGGAAAACAATTATTCTAAAAAGTACATAAACAAGTAAGGCCACAATCTTAGCACAACACCAAGGAGTAAAGCTCCGTTTCTCACATGACAGTTGAAAATAAGTCCTATATCTTTAGAGAAATCACCCCTAAATTAGTGTGTCCTTCTTTTTAGACTTTGACACTGCAAACATCTATTAAATATTTGCTATCTTCTAGGCATTATGTCATCATAAAGGCCTTTGAATATCACTAAGAAGCCCACAGTTGCCAGGCTGATATGCAAGGAGCTTGGCAATTGTAACTCCTGTCCTCACAACAAGAAATAAACTGAAAACCAGTAATTCTTCTTAGATCCATCAGAGAATTAAAGTCACAAAGCCAACTATTAAATACATCCTTAAAATTGGAGAGACAGATGAATATAGAGAACTGCGGCTTACCTGGAGCAGAAGCTGCTGCCAGAGACAGGTAGGAGCATTTAAGGGAAATCGACTAATTGCTGGAGACTTAATGTAAACCAGCTTGAGAGATAAAACTTCGGGTGCCTCACTTTAGGGTGGATCTCTACACTTTCATGAATTTTACCTTCAGGAATTTCACCAGATTCTTGGGATGAAGATTGAGGAAACCCTGCCCCAACTTAAAACATAAAAAAAAGCGCCCAACATAAAAAAAATGCATTTTCCCCAATATAAAAGAAAGCAAAAGCACACACACTTATGGGGAAGCCTGAGACCAGCTAGGTAGAACCCAGTGTTAACCAGAGGTGGCCACAGAGTTGACTCTTTCAAAATCAACTCACAGTTGTTTGGGTTATCCAACAGGTAATGCTGGGAATTTCAGGGGGCTATTATGGTTGAGAACTGGTAAAGTAGGTCAAGGTCACAAGAAATTATGATGAACACATCATAGACAGTGAGAAGGGAAATAAGTGAGATTGGGAGTAGGCAGGATGGGATGGTGGAATTAGGGAGGTCAAAGAACTGAGTTCACAAGATGGCTGACTAGAAACAGCAGTGATCAGAGTCTCCCACTGAAAAAGAATGATTAGGCCGGGCAGGGTGGCTTGTGCCTGTAATCCCATCACTTTGGCAGGCTGAGGCAGGCAGATCACTTGAGGTCAGGAGTTCGAGACCAGCCTGGCCAACATGGTGAAACCCAGTCTCCGCTAAAAATACGAAAAACCAACCAGGCGTGGTGGCAGCTGCCTGTAATCCCAGCTATTCGGGAAGCTGAGGCAGGAGAATCGCTTGAGCCCGGGAGTCAGAGGTTGCAGTGAGCCAAGATCACACCATTGCATTCCAGCCTAGGTGACAAGAGCAAAACTCCATCTCAAAAAAGAGAAGAAAAGAAAAGAACCGTTATACCGTGTGAATCCTGCACTGGCAATCAAGGTATCCAGCTTCTGTCATCAGAACTGACTAGACGGCTGGTGTGATCCACAGAGAGGAAGGAAGGGCAATGTGGTGCAGTGGCCCACCCGAGAGCCACACGAGGCAGGTGAGTCCCCATCCCCCAGTCAAGGGACGTGGTAAGTGAGCGTGCTACCCAGCTGGGGAAACCATGCTTTTTCCACGGAACTGTGCAATCCACGGATCAGAAGATCCCACTTGCAAACCCACCCTCTACCACGACCTAGGGTCCCAATCCCGGACCTGCACAGATTCTCAACAGCCTCTCAGCTAGAATCTGCTTAAGCCTGGCGAGTTCCCGGGGAAAGGGGCAACCAGCACCAAAGCTGCTACTGCTTATCTAAGCCATTTGAGCTCCTTAGGGGAAGGACAGCAACCAGCACTGGAACTCATAGCTGCCTACTATGCTAAGCTCCCTGGGCTCCATCTCTGTAGCTCCAGGCCACGCTTCTCCCCTGCTGGAGCCAGGGAGGCCGGACGGCTTGATCCCAAAAGGTGTCCTCCACAGCCCAACACACCAGATATGGCAAACTGCAGTTAGAGTGTCTCTTCAGGCCTGACCCTGACCCATCTTTCCTCACTGGGTGGGCCCTGGGCCCTCCCTGCAGGAACTCTAACAACTCCAGCCAGAGGCTCAGGGACAGAACCCTGATCTCCCTGGGCCTGAGCCCCTAGGGGGAGTGGTGGCTGCAGTCTCTGCAGACTAGCAGACTTAGCCTTTCTTCCTGGTATGTCTGAGGAATTCAGGCAGCACAAACAAGTGGATTTCCCTCTAGTGAAGCACACTCCCTCCACCAAGGGACAAAGAGCTTTGTTAAGTGGGTCCTGTTTCCCATGCCACCCACCTGGGTGAGACCCTCCAACAGGGGTTGCCAAACACCCTACACAGGAGTGATCCTACTGGCATCAGGCTGGTGCCTCTTGAGGTCAGAGATCCCAAAAGAAGAAACAGGCACCCATCTTTGCTGTTCTCCAGCCTTCTTGAGTGACATCTCCAGGTGCAGGAGGTAACCAGATGAATAGGGCCTGAAGTGAACCCCCAGCAAATTGCAGCAGCCCTACAGAAGAGGGACCTGACCATTGAAAGAAAAACAAACAGAAAGCAAGAGCACCACCATCAACAACAATAAAAGTCCCTACAAAAACCCCATCCAAGGGTCAGCAGCCTCAAAGATCGAAATTAGACAAACTCATGAAGAAACAATGAAAAAATGCTGAAAACCCAAAAGGCCAGAGTGCCTCTTCTCCTCCAAATGATCACAGTGCCTCTCCAGCAAGGGCACAGAACTGGACGGAGGATGAGATGGATAAATTGACAGAAGGAGGCTTCAGAAGACAGGTAATGAAAAACTACACTGAGCTAAAGGAGTATGTTGTAATCCAATGCAAAGAAGCTAAAAACCTTGATAAAGGTTAGCAGAACTGCTAACTAGAATAACATGTTTAGACAGAAACATATATGACCTGATGGAGCTGAAAAACACAGCACAAAAACTTAAATGAAGCATACACAAGTATCAATAGCTGAATTGACTGAGTGGAAGAAAAGATATCAGAGTTTGAAGACCATCTTGTTGAAATAAGGGATGCAGACAAGAATAGAGAAAAAAGAATAAAAAGGAATGAAGAAATCCTCCAAGAAATATGGGACTACATAAAAGGACCAAACCTATGACTGATTGGAGTACCTGAAGGAAAGGGGCAGAATGGAAACAAGCTGGAAAACACACTTCAGGATATTATCCGGGAGAACGTCCCCAACCTGGAAAGACAGGCCAACATGCAAATTTAGGAAATACAGAGAACATCACTAAGATATTCCATGAGACACATAATCATCAGATTCTCCAAAGTCAAAATGAAGAAAAAAAAAATGTTAAGGGCAGCCAGAGAGAAAGGCCAAGTCACCTACAAAGGGAAGCCCATCAGACTAATAGTGGACCTCTCAGCAGAAACCTTACAAGCCAAAAGACACTGGGGGCCAATATTCAACATTCTTAAAGAAAAGAATTTTCAACCCAGAATTTCATATCCAGCAAAACTAAGCTTCATAAGCAAAGGAGAAATAGAATCCTGTCCTGATAAAAAAAATGATGGGGATTTCATCACCACTAGGCCTGCCTCGCAAGAGAGTTCCTGAAGGAAGCACTAAATATGGAAAAGAAAAACTGGTACCAGCCCCTACAAAAACACGTCAAAATATAAAGATCAATGATATGATAAAGAAACTACATCAACCAGTGTGCAAAATAACCAGATAGCATGACAACAGGATCAAATTCACACATAACAATATTAACCTTAAATGTAAATGGATTAAATGTCCCAATTAAAAGATACAGACTGGCAAATTGGATAAAGAGTCAAGACCCATCAGTGTGCTGTATTCAGGAGACCCATCTCACAAGCAAAGACACACATAGGCTCAAAATAAAGGGATGGAGAAAAATTAACCAAGCAAATGGAAAGAAAAAAAAAAAAAAAAAAGAAAAGCAGGGGTTACGAAGAAGGGCATTACATAACAGTAAAGGGATCAATTCAACAAGAAGAGCTAATTATTCTAAATATGTATGCACCCAATACAGGAGCACCCAGATTCATAAAACAAGTTCTTAGAGACCCACAAAAAGACTTAGATTCCCACACAATAATAGTGGGAGACTTAAACACCCCACTGTCAATATTAGATCAACATGACAGAAAATTAACAAGGATATTCAGGACTTGAACTCAGCTCTAGACCAAGCAAACAGAATATACATTCTTCTCAGCATCACATGGCACTTATTCTAAAATCCACCACATAATTAGAAGTAAAACATTTCTCAGCAAATGCAAAAGAACTAAAATCATAACAGTCTCAGACCACAGTGCCATAAAATTAGAACTCAGGATTAAGAAACCCACTCAAAACCATACAATTACATGGAAATTGAACAACCTGCTCCTGAATGACTCCTGAGTAAATAATGAAATTAAGGCAGAAATCAAGAAGTTCTCTGAACCTAATGAGAAAATAGAGACAACACACCAGAATCTCTGGGACAGAGTTAAGCAGTGTTAAGAGGGGAATTTATAGCATAAAATGCCCACATTAGAAAGCTAGAAAGATCTCATATTGACACCTTGACATCACAATTTGAAAAGCTATAAAAAAAAATGAGTTCATGTCTTTGTAGGCACATGGATGAAGCTGGAAGCCATCATTCTCAGCAGACTAACACAGGAACAGAAAACCAAACACTACATGTTCTCACTCGTAAGTGGGAGTTGAACAGTGAGAATACATGGACACAGGGAAGGGAACATCACACACTGGGGCCTGTCAGTGGGGTTGGGGACAAAGGTAGGGAGAGCCTTAGGAGAAATACCTAATGTAGATGGTGGGTTGATAGGTGCGGCAAGCTGCCATGGCACATGTATACCTATGTAACAAACCTGTGTGTTCTCTACATGTATCCCAGAACTAAAATTTAGAAAAACAACAACAAAAACACTTAAAAGAGCTAGAGAAGCAAGAACAAACAAATCCAAAAGCTAGCAGAAGACAAGAAATAACTAAGATCAGAGCAGAATTGGAGGTGATAAACACAAAAACACCCTCCAAAAAACAAAAAAACAAAAAAATCAATGAATTCAGGAACTGTTTTTTGAAAAGATTAACAAAATAGACTGCTAACCAGACTAATAAAGATGAAAAGAGAGAATAATCAAATAGACACAATAAAAAATGATATAGGGGATATCACCACCGACCTCATAGAAATACAAACTACCATCAGAGAATGCTATAAACACGTCTATGCAAATAAACTACAAAATCTAGAAGAAATTGATAAATTCCTGGACACATACACCCTCCAAAGACTAAACCAGGAATAAGTCAAATCCCTGAATAGACCAATAACAAGTTATGAAATTGAGGCAGTAATTAATTAATAGCCTACCAACCAAAGAAAGCCCAAGACCAGACAGATTCACAGCCAAGTTCTACGAGAGATACAAAGCAGAGCTGGTACTGGTACCATCCCTTCTGAAACTATTCCAAACAATTGA